CAGTCCATCAATATATTTATTTTTTATGTCAACAACTATTTCAATAAATTTAAAAATGCATAATCCTAATTAACCCTTCCACAAACTTCTCTACATTGCACACCATTATCATGAGTTCTTAAGAGGGATTTTATTATAATATAAAGTTTTGAATCATATATAATATAACCCAAATACTAATCTTAAAATTTTGTAAAACCTCAGTAACTTCTATGACTAATAGACCCTTTAAACACAAAAAGAGTGTCACCATTTTCAACACCATGCCACCGAAGACTACAATTCTCTCGCATAATCCGTTGCTTATGTACAAATATATACTCATCTCTTGGCAAAGTCTTGTTAGCTTGTAACCCTTCTCTCATCTCCGAGATGGTACAAGAGTCTTTAAACTCCACAGGGATCCTCGCACCGCCGAATAAACTCGATGACGTCTGCACCAAGAAACATAGTTTCCTCACCGGAACAACGTCTTTTGCACGGTTGATTGACTTGAGAAACACCACAATCTCCGCAAATTCACTGATTCCGTATTCGTTTAGGTTCCGAAAATCGTCTGCTAGCTCGATACCTGAGTAGTATAACTGCATTCGCTTGATCGGTGTATTCTCCATAATGTGAATCTTGTCTTTCAAGCTACTTACCTAGAGAAAAAAACATTAACTTGTTAATCAAGAAACCTCAGGACAAGTGTTTATATAATGTGAGATTAGTTACCGTTTCGGTTCTGTCTACTTCGATGGTGAATTGTTTTGACGGGAACTTGACGGTGACATGGATTTTCTTAACGATAGGGTTAAAGAAAGTGGGAGTTACGGTGAGATCGATTCTTGTACCGTGAGAGATGATCGGATAATCTTCGATGTCAAGACCATCGAGAAGTTCCCAACAAGAGACAAAGAGAGTTAAAGAAGATGATGGAATCTGAAGAAACTGTCCTAAACGTTTCTTGATGTCTAACACAGGTTCTTGTTCACCGATTTCCATGGTGAATTCTTGTGTGTATGAAACAATTGTGACTACTATCATGTTTTCGAATAAAATAATTTTTGTATGTTTCTGTAAAAAGGACTATGATTCCGAAATGTGTG